GTTGTTATTTTTCATCTCCATTGACTTTCTACTTCTCTTCTCCCATCCTCTTAATGTTAGTGCTCAGTCCTACATTATCTTCTCTATCTATACTCACTTTTTTGGTTATGCCACCCAGTCCCATAAATCTATATGTTATCTGTATTCAGGTGATTCCCAAATATATTTATCCAGCCCAGACCTCTCTAATAAACACCATACTTGAGCCTTATAAACATCTCCATTTAGATGTCTAACAGACATCCCAAACTTAATATGTCCAAAACAGAACCGATCTTTCTCCCCAATTCGGTCTATCTACAGCCTTACCCATCACAGTTTATCGTAATCCCATCTTTCCAGTTGTTCCCACCAAAAACCTTTAAGTCATTCTTGACTCTTCTCTTTGTTAACTCTTCTCAACCCCCAATCAACATCAAATCTGTCAGGAAGTCCTGTTGGCTCTACTTTTAAAATATACTCAGAATCATACCATTTATCACCATGTCCTCTGCTACCTTAGTGATCTGAGTCACCAAAATCTCTCACTTGCATTACTTTGATGGCCTTTGAGTAGTCTTCCTGCTTCTGTCCTTGCCCTCCTACAGCCTATTCTCAATATAACAACCAGAGTGATCCCTTTTAGGCAGATAATGGCTACAATCAAAAAAATGAACAATACCAAATGTTGGTGAGAATATGGAGAAATTGGAATTCTCATGCATTGCTGGTGGGAGTATAAAATGGTGTAGCCCCTTTGGAAAACAATTTGGCAGTTCTTCAAAAAATTAAACATAGAGTTACCATTTGACCCAGTCATTCTAGTCCTAAGTATACACCAGAGAGAATTGAAAACATATGTTCACATAAAAACTTGTATATGAATGTTCATAGCAGCATTTTCATAAGAGCCAAAAAATGGAAACAACCCAAAAGTCCATCAATTGATTAACGGATAATCAAAATGTGGTTATATCTACACAATGAAATATTATTCAGCCATAAACAGGAATAAAGTACTGATACATACTACAACATGGATGAACCCTGAAAATATTATGCTAAGTGAAAGAAGCCAGACAAAAAAGGCACACATTGTATGATTCTATTTATGTGAAATGTGCAGAATGACAAATCCATAGACACAGAAAGCAAATTAGTGTTTGTCATGGGTTTGGGGAAGGAGAAATGGGGAGTGACTGCTAATGAGCATGGAGTTTCTTTTCCAAGCAACGAAAATTTTCTGGAATCAGACAGTGGTGATGATTGCACAACTTTGTGAATATACTAAAACCAACTGATTTGTACACTTTTAAAGAGTGAGTTTTATGGTATATGAATTATATTGTAATTTTTAAAAATTACTTCAAGGTTTTGAGCTTCTTTTCCATGGTTTCCATATATAAGAGTAGCAATCTGGACTAGATTTACTACTACAGAAGACTGAACCTGTCTTCGTGCTTCATGGAAGTCAATCAACAAGGAAACCATCTTGGATCAAATAGTTCTTACACGACAAATGAAATCTGAAGTTAGAAACTTTGTCCTGGGAGTACACTTTAGGAGAAAATTACAACGTAAATCCTTATATCAGGGACTCTTAGGTAATATAATAGACTCTGTCTTTGTGGTTTTGCCCAAGACACAGAAACATTCTTCAGAAGAATTTTTCTTCTACTGACCAACTCTAAAAGATTAAGGCATAAAATCAAATTGCAACTAATTCCATAAAGGAATTTTTGCCAAAATAGTACAGCCTATTTCCAGATGATCTAACTTTATATAGAGATAAAGCTTGCGAAGCCAAGAGACACAAAGAGTCACATTCCCTTAGACCAACTTACTCAAATACCAGATATCTCAACTGAGCATTTGGCAAGTATTAGAGGGCAGTCTAAATTCTGATTAAATAAATGTCCATATGTTTTTGATACTGGATGCGCAGGTAGCAAAGTCAATATACTGTCATGAGAATTTAGGGGTTTGATTTATACCCTTGTCTAATCAAATAGTCATCATATTTCCAAGCTGGGGTAAACTCTAGAGATTCATGCAGATGGGGTAAAAAGTTTTTCAGATTCAGCAAAGAACTCTGAATCTTCTCATTTGGACAAGCATTTAGTTGAGAGCCTAGCGTTTATGCTATTAGACATGGATGGCGTAATTTGGGTCTGAAAAGCTCGAAGTGCAGGTGTTTTTAATCAACTGTCTGTATCATGAAAGCATTTCAGTAGAATCTCTGCAAAACGTAGGTTGGTGTAGTCCTGCATTTTTGATGAACTAGCTCCAAAATGTACTCCCTCAAGTAGATGAGCAACCTATTTGGAGTTAGACTGTGTTAGCTTTGGACACTATGCTACAATGTTTTTCTCTATAAATGTTTAGGGAATGAAGAAATGAATGATTTAATGAATTTATATTATAGTATCAAGATAATATTAGAGTTGAATATTTTTCTTATACAATTTTAATAGGCATGCCATGTGCTATGCTATAAAGGAACCGCTCTCAGATGGCAGAAAGTCTGGAATTTTTTTCTAACTTTGTGTTCTTGGTTGTTTACTCACATGTCTTCTCCACTACAGTATAAGCTCTTTGGTGATGTTATTCACCTTTACATCCACCACACAATGCCTACTCAAGTACAAGGCCCATTAGCAGATACTCAAAAAACAATGGGAGGGAGACACTGAATAGAACTAGTTGGGATTGTTTTTAAACTTCAAGTGTCTGATGCACAATATGTTTGAAGGTATGAAAGCAGGCCAGTGTAATGGACACTTCACTCCAGAAGCTAAATAAGGACAGCTATTCCCTTTCCCTTCCCTCTGGCGGCTGGAGAGTAGGTCAATGGCCAGTTGTGGCCAGACGGACCCTCCTGTTAGGGACTTTGAATCTGGAAGAAATGACTCAAGGGTGTAAGGTCACTTAGAGTTTGAGGCAGCAGCGGCAGAAGTGTGGATGTGCAGCACAGCAGCTGTTCTCCAGGAACCGGATAACAGAGCAGCTTCCCAAGCAGCCCAATCCCAGGGCAGGAATTTGTCCTCATCTTGCCCATTATCTTCATTCCTGCCCAGCCTGGCTCTCTAGATTTCTGTCAATTCATGAGGCACCCATGTAAACTGAAGAGTAAACTTGAAGGCAATAAAAAAGTACAAAAATACTAAGATTATCTTCCCTACTCATTTCCTTGGAAGACTTATCACTACTTACCCATTAACTCAGTCAAATAATGGTTATGGTTTTCCACACATACTGCTCTCTCAGATTTTTCTAGCCCTTCCATAAAATAAAGTTATCTTTAAAAAAATATAAATATAAATTTAGATTTTAAATATCCAAAAACATCTAAACTGGCATTTTCCCACTATGATAAGGAAATGGAAAAAATGGAGTAAAGAAATTTTTTCAAAAATCCAATATGCACACAATAGCCAAAGGAGAAAATCACTGAAATGTCTAACAATGGATGAATAGATTTTTAAAATGTGGTATATCCATGCAAAGGAATATTATTGCACCACAAACAGGAATGAAGTACTGATACCTGGATGCATAAAAACATTATACTAAGTGAAAGAAGCCAGATAATGTTAATGGTTGCACAACACTGTGAATATACTAAATGCCACTGAACTGTACACTTTAAAATGGTTAAAATGGTAAATTTTATGTTGTATGTATTTTACCACAATAAAAAATTTAAAATCCAATATGCAAAAAATTTGAAGAAATATAAAGTAGAATATTTAAAGCAAGATCCCTTTTATTTGCAATAGAATAGAGTGGCTTGCCAAACGAATTTTTCTGGTTGTAAAATCTTTGTAGCTCCGACTTTCCCTCAGAACTCTCAGTGGAGTTATCTGTCATGTAATCAAGTTTTCATATTAAGAAATAACCTTGTATCTTGGTGAGAGGAAAATAAAGCTCATTCAAAAGGCTTTTCATTTATCTCTGATCACAGTCATATCCCATTTCATTTAGACACAATAAGGAAGTTGTGAAAATGAAGTATAATTTGATAGATCTTGGCAAATATAATTTTTCCACTCTGGCAAAGTTTAAAGTTCTTTTATTACAGATTAGCATCAGTTACTCAATTTTCCAAATATGGGTGTGTTTACCTGGGAAAAATGGGCTGAAGATGCAGGGATTTACATAATTCTTCAAACCAGGATAACAAAAATGTGCTGCTAGTTGCTATCGCACAATTGGATGGCTTATTACTGTAAAATTGTTTTAAGTTTGCTCAGTGGAATCCTGGGAAATGCCATTCACTCAATTTGTTATTCTAGAATTTTAAAATTCTTTTATCTTTTATTTCTCCCATCTCTACATTCCCCCCAAATCTCACATACCTCAGCGGTAAAAAATACATATGTGTGTGTATATACACACACACACTCATATATATTCTAAGTTTCTTCAATTATTGCTTTCCATCCCTGATAGAACTGAAAAAGAAAACCCCACAAAAGAGCAAGTATTCAAGTATCAATGTCAGTGTATTTGTATCAAAGCCAGAATAAGTGCCTTTTCGTTCTACTAAGGAGCAAAAACGGCGAACTATTTCCTGTTTTACATTTCCTGCATTACTTAAGGTAAATCGAAATACCAGCAACTTCAAGTTCTATTTCTCAACTTATTAAAAAATGTGTGTTGCTTAAAAGGAATTTTTAATAACCTCTTGGGGGAAAATTGTGAGATTTTCCCAACCAGGTTCCTCGGAGGAAACCATCTTAATGCTTTTACAAATAATGAAAGCATTTCATTTCAGAAGTACTTAAAATACAATTACTTCATTTACTTTTAGAGACTTCATCAAAGTAGGTTTTCAACCCATGCTCTTCAGAGCAGGTGCCCGTAATTAAAGGCAGTCCTCTCACCTGATTCATTTCCCATGCTTTGGAGGGCTCTGCTTGAGAGGACTAACTCACTCTGCATGCGTAAGGAAGATATTATTGCCAAGTTCCACGAAGCCCTCTGACAAATTCATCAGTGCTACAAACTACTGACCTTACCCTAAACCCATCTGCTTGCAGGCCAGCTGACTCAATGTCTCCTGCCAGCCATCAGCACACACGTGGCGTTCTGTAGCAGATCTGTGCGCGGTCAGGAATGAAGAGGAGTTCACGTTTTTAGAGAGGGTCACTGAGAAAAAAAAAGAGGGGGAAACCATAATTAAAAACATTTCTTCTCAGGACTGGCCCAGTTGCCTAGTGGTTAAGTTTGGCGTGCTCCACCTTGGCAGCCCACGATCAGTTTCTGGGTGTGGACCTGCACCACTCATCAGCCGTGCTGTGGCAGTGACCCACATACAATATAGAGGAAAAGTGGCACAGATATTAGCTCAGGGACAATCTTCCTCAAGCAAAAAGAGGAAGATTGGCAACAGATGTTAGCTCAGGGTGAATCTTCCTCAGCAAAAATAATTCCTTCTCATGAAAACAGATGATAACTTTACATAACTTTGCTTCACTTACATATCTTCATTTTTATTTATTTTAGTTAAGAACCATTTGGTAAGTATCTACCCTGTGCAAACAACTGCTCTCAGTGTGATGGACGACTAAAAAAATGAATTAGAAATGTTCTCTGCTCTCAAAGAACCACAATTCTAGTGAAAGAGACAGACAGTTCTTAACTTTTTGTGAGTTAGAGATGGCCAGAGGTAGGGCCCATTCCTCTGAGTTTACCCAATGATTTGCATAATTATAAGGAGCTGGTTGTAACTTCATTCATATCATTTCCTTTGAAGAGAGCATATGAGCATGCAAGTGTGTGAGAGTGATGTTAATTTTGGATTAATTTGGTATGTGCACTAATTCCTATTTTATAAAATAGCATCCTCTGTACTTAATAAATCACAGATCATTTGTGAACCACTGCACAATTAATCACAACACAACATGATGATCATAATTTGGCCAGATGATGCAAAGGACTGGAATAAGAGCCAAGTGAATGGAAGGAGTGATGAGGATGGGATGATAGAATTAATCCAACTCAAGATTACAAACTGCAACATTGGTGGTACTGGTGGGAGATGCCTTTAAGTCCTATTCACGTAAAGGAGTAGAGAGTTAAAAGTCCCATCTGGAGCAAGAGTATAGGGAAGATGGAAGGGCCACTTTGACATCCTATTCCAGGAGGTGTCACCAATACAAGAATGACAGACTATTGATAATTGTTGAAGCTGGATGATAAAAGAGTTTAAAAATTTTATTCTAACAGTTATATGGTTCTAACAATTTGAAGCCAAAAGTTTTTACATATAATATAGATATTTCAAATAAAAAAGTAACTTGGGGGAAGTTTTTTGTGAGTTGGAAATAATATATATGAATCACCACTGTCAGCAGTTATAATAGTAAAGCAAAACAGATGAACTTGGTTAGTAAAATCCTTGAAGCCATTTAGGCTTCATTTCACTTAGATGGCTGGCAGGCATTAGAGTGCACAGCAGATGGCAGGAACAAGCAGCTTACCACAGTCCCATTCGTCTGAACTGTCTAAGCAGTCGGCTTCACCATCACACCACCGGTCCCGCGACACACACTCGTGGTTTGCGCATTCTAGTTCATCATCTCGGCAAAACGCTGGCACAGGGAACAATAAGCAAGAAGACAGAAACGTTTTAGAAGAGAATGTGATTATCACTAACATGCGCATTATCATTTGCTGGCAGGAGCATAGAAGGAAGAAAAGATGTGGTCACCAAGGCCTCCAAACAGGTGTCAAGCCAGAATAACAGAATTGATAAAATCTCATTTCCTAGATGTTGATACATACAAATAGTAGCACTGAAACAGAATTACTATCTCCAAGTGATTAGATTCTCTAGTTCTAACAGCAAGATTTAGAAAGTGGTACCCAGAGCGACAGAAATCCCAAAGATTAGAGAACAGGGTTAAAATCTGAAGTGGCATGTGCAGAGCACTGGGGAGGAGCAGACTGAAGTCACCACAGGATGAAAACAAGCTCTGTCCACAGTTATGGATAATACATTGGGTTTTTTTAAATCTCTACTATGAAATGATTCTCTGAGTCGTATACTAACTCCCTGCTGGGTTTTTTAAAATTATAGTGAAACTCCTCGATTGCCTGCCTAGCACCCATTTCCTTTCTTCCTCCTTTTTTAAGGGAACCTGATTTTGTTCAGGCCCCTCACTCCAGCTCCAGAGAAAGATCCTGATTAGTTCAAGTGGAACATGGCATTTTTCTGACTATAATTATTTTTTTCTGAATATAATTATTAGTCCAGGAGTAAACACACAATCCAAGATCAGGGTCTTGGTGTGTGGTTTTGTGGGTTGTGCTTTGCAAAATAGTTCCTGCCCAAACCCTGCTGGCCAGGCCATGTGCCCCTGCCTGGGACAGGGGCGGTCTGGAGGAAACAGCATCTTTTTCTAACTGGTTGTCCCTATGGGGCACTTCTTTTTGCGATTCAGCTGTTTAGGTCTTGTCTTTTCTAATTTACACAAAGGCTCTTGAATTCTAGCTGGGACCCTTCTCAAAGTTGGACCATCTCAATGAATCCCTGAGTGATGTTCCAGAGATGATGGCGAGGTTCTTGCTCCTTCCAACTAGATATGATCAAGGAAAAAAAAGCATGGCAGCCCAGTGCTCTTGGCAACCATCTTTTGACCCTGAGGGGAGCCAGCCAGAGGTCAAGCCAAACTAAAGAATCACAGAAAAAGTACTCAACTCCCACATCCAGCCTCAAGATCCAACCTACATTGACTTTTTCTATGTTAAGTCATATGTGATATAGACAATAATAAAAGATAATAAATGTCTTCATTGTTTTAAGTCAGTTTGAGTCGGGCTTTCTGTTACTAGTACGTAAAACATTTTAGGAGATATATATTTTTTTCTGATTCTAAAACTACTGGCCATTCATTTAGAAAATGTAGAAAAGATAGAAAAGCACAAAAACTTACTAATCCCACCATCCAGGGATTATAATTGTAAACTTTTTATTATGGCCTTCTGATTTTTGTCTATATGTAAGTATATGTACTTTCAAACCTCAGGACAATAGTACCTCTAATACTTTATATTTTGTTTTATTCACCTAATGATATGTAATGAACCCAGGAGTAATTAGTCTTCTAATTTGATTTTTAATGTTTACATATTATTTCATTTTGTGGTTGTATTTAATGCCCCCTATTTTGGGATATTTGGGGTGTTTTAATTTTTTCCATATAATAAATAATGCTAGAATAATATCATTGGATACATATTTTAACACACGTTTGATTGTCTTCTTGCCGTATATCTTTACAAGTGGGGTTTTGGTCAAAAGGTCTGAACATATGAAAAGCTTTTGATACATATTTCCAAATTTCTGGCTTACATTCAAAATGAGAAGTAATTAGTGTTTAAAATAAAAATGTTCTGTTAACCAATTCATGCCATCACTTACAGCAGTTTTTTTCATCCATGTTTTCAGGGCAGTCTGGGAACCCATCACAGATGACTGTGGGCTTCAAACATTGTTTATCGGATGGACATTCCCAAAGATCTCTCTCTTCACAGCCTGGAAACAGAAGAAAAGGTTATTTGCAAGAGATGTGGAGGTGAAAATAACGATGAATTTGATCAAGCAATGAAGAAAAATTACAACATAAAGGCATGATTTCTGTTTTCTTAAAGAGTTTTGACTCCTGTATCCCATGGAAAATGTAATTTAGAAAGTAGAAGTACTCCGTAATCTCCATACTGCAATATAAATAGTACAGCTCTCCTAAGAGAAGTTCAAAAGTGACATATGGGAAATGGGAAAAAATGCAAAAGCAATTACACATTAATGTTCATCTTTAGCTATTCCTTTTGCTTTCTGAGTCAATTTGCCAACACATAAGAGTCCTCTATAAAATGATGAGTTATGCTTTTAGGCAAATATGCCAAAACTTAGTGATCTAAATGCATATTATCTCAAAATGTAATTTCAGTCAACAAATGGAGAGGCCATCTGTGTGTTTAGCAAAAGAGGCTCTTTCTATGTCAAATACCTACAAAACTAGTTTAAGAGCCAGGTATGAAAACCATTACGTTAGTAGTATAGTCAGAGATCTAAGGGTAGAAACTTTATCAATTAATATGAGAAACAAACGTAATTTGCACAAGATCAAGACTATAAGCTTGAACTTGAACTTAACTTGAATTTGCCAATGAAATAGCAAGAACGTGATGAACTTAATAAATCCTATTTGATTCAAATGCAGTGCATTTCCTACATCTACTAAAACAGGCCAAGAGTCTAATGTGTTCTCGTTACTCCACTTGGCTCCGTGGCCCTCACCAGGCTGTGAGGTGTGTGAAGGAAGAGACCATACAGCGTCCATCTTTGGGTGCTCTTCACCCCCCTGCCTAGAACATCAGCTAGCCCACAGCAGGCCCTCAACATGTCTGTATTTTAAATGGAACTTTATTTGTGTGAGAAACAAAAAGTTTCTTGGTCCCAAGAAAAAGATAATTTAGTTTAAGGTGAGTGAAATGCAAAGCAGTCATCAAATAAGGAGTTTCTGAAAAAATGCTATTTCTCATCTGACCTAGTACAAATAGAATTTTGTAGATGATTGACTCAGGTTTCTTGGAACCCATTAAAAGAAAAAATCTGCTTTTTTTCAAAATTCTCATTGAAAACAGTTATCAAAATAAGTCATCAGAAGAGACCTTTTTACTGTGAGCTAAAATTAGATTTACGTTGTTTCACCATTCAAAGATATAGGCAATAAATAGTGAGAGCCATATAGCTGGAATGGTCTTAGGCCCAAGGACATCTGCTCTAGGAACTCATGGGGATATAATTTGGAGCTTTCAGCTAGCAGAGGATACAGACATTATCTGGGATTTTCTGACAATGATAGTCCCTTGGGTCCCTGGAGATTTGAGAAGGAGCCCGAAGTCTGCCCTCCACAGCCCAGCTCCTGCCAAATGGCACGGTGGGCTCATTCTACCAGAGAGCAAGGAAGATGAAGACAGAGGTCAGACATCCCACAATGCCTACCCAGCTCCAAACCACACCTCTTGCGGTAGAGGATGAGAGAAAACAGCGCGAGTCTTTCCGACTGTTCACAAGGTACCCTCCCTAAGAGTACCAAGAAGAACTTGGACATTTGGAATGAGCTGATGGAAGACTACAAACGTAGATCTTCTGGGACATAAGGCCTGCAGCCTCACAAATAGCAATGGTAATAATAAGAGATAACATTTACTATCCACTACAAATCCACATTCAAGATACAAGTTTTAATTCTTCAAGTCAGTATTAAGATCACTTCTTATAAGTGAGGAAACTGAGATTTAGAGAAAACAAATAAATTGCTCCAAATCTAGCCTTACAGAGAAAGATGGAGTTGGGCTCCAGGTGTGAGTCTTTAGTTGCAGTGCTCTGTAAAATGAGAACGCACAGTGTGCAGGAGGGGTAAGAGCGAGGGAAGCACAGCTTTAGCGTCAGACACTGGATTTAAATCATAGCTCCAAATCTCACTAGCTGTGTGACCGAATATAAGTTACTTAACTTCTCTGACCTTTAGTTTCCATATCTCTAAAATAATAATGACAATGCCTGCTATATAGGGTTGCTATAAAGATTAAGTGAGTACTCTACATGCATTAATTTGCTCTTCTGTATCTTCTATTTTCTAATAAAAGTTTGTGTGGCCTCATACCTCCTTTGTGGAGTTATGGTGAGCATAAATGAAGGAGGATGAAAAGGTCAAGACAGTCACATGGAAGATAGTATCATTATTTTGTGAAGAAACCACTCTCTGAATGACATTTTTGGTATAATTATGTTTTAAGTTTATGCTTTAAAAGGAAAAGGGTATCACTTCATTAAAAATTAAAAGCAGGTATGGATGGGATGGGATGTTTAATGCAGCTGTAGGTTATGAAACCAAATAATTGTTGATGTCAGAATAACAACCACCCCAGCACGAAGATAATGACAAAGCCCACTCACGGAGGCCAGGGTGTGTTGCTGAAGTGACCAACTTGTGCCGGTTTGCCTGGGACTTTCCAGGTTTGAGCACTAAAAGTCCCTCGTTCTAAGACTACCCCTCAGTCCCGGGCAAACAGGGATGGTTTGCCACCCTAATTATGCTAAGCATTCTGCCAGGTTCTTCACTTTCTCTCTCTCTCATTTTCACAAAAACTCTGTGACGGCAGGTCTCACCCTAACTGGAGCACCTTTTTTCTCTACCAAAAAGTTGACATTATAGGTAAAGAGAGCAAACCACCCTAAAGCAGATGCTTCTTGTACTATAAGAATCTCTCAGTTATGCAAATATAGGGTAAGTAGCTCTGCTCACTAGATCTGCTTATTTGAGCTACATGAAATAAAAATATCTTCAAGGAGGAGCTGGTCACATGGGGAAGGGAGCAAGGTGATTCTGGGTCCTGGAGCTGGCAGAATCTGGAATGGTCTGGATCTAGCCACCATGGGCCAGCATCTGTCCCAGGAAGTGGCTGTGGATGCGACCTTGGAGCGGATCACAGCAGCTGTAGCAGTGAGGCTGAGGCCTAGCAGATGTGAAGGCCCCCCCAGAGCATGTGACTCCGGGCGATGGAGCCCCAGTCTCTAAGAACAGCCACAGAGGTCTCTGCCCCAGCACCTGTGGTGGCAGCCCAAACAGAGGACCTGCCTCCCCACTGGACTCCAGGCCTGACTGTTAGGCGCAGCAACTCCAGAACAGGTCGTAGGGCTCGCATCTTCAACTAGAAAGTCTCAGCAGTCATCCCAATTCCTAAGTCAATGCCCCGTTTTAGGGTACCATCCTCATGTCATCCTCTTCAACATGTGCTGGCCTAGTACCCTGTGAAGAGGCAGGATGAGGACACAGAAAGAGCTCTAACCTACAGGCTGGGGGCCCCCTTGGTGACTGTAATCCTGGAGATGGGGACATCCACCCCAAAACAAGCACTACCTCCGGATGAGGCGTCACCCTCCTTCCCGTGTTTGCTGTGTGAACCAGGTACTCTGCCCAGACCATGCTTTGGACACGACATGCCAGCCTGCTCTTCTCTGCTATAAATAAGACCTTGGTTTGTCAGAGACAAGACCGAGTCAGATAGGATTTCTTCCCCCAAGGGAGATCCCTGGGGTGATCTTTGACAGGAGTCACCTCCTGGATTTCCTAGCATCGTGGCAAGTGGGTTCTTGGTTATTGCCTTCTGAAGACTGAATAAGGCATGTTATAAACATTCCAAGCTGTAGAGGATAAAGTGTGTGTTCTTTACATTTTGCAAGTGAGGAAATTGAGGTCCAGAGAAGTTAAGTGACTGACCAAAAGTCACACAGCCTCTAAGTGCTGAGCCAAGATTTAAATCCAAGTCTAAGTCTACACAGAGCACTCTCTGCTATTCCAGGCTGCCTGCTGAAGACGCCATATAAGATAGCAAAGCAGTTAACCAAGTGGCAAAATATCTAACGGGAAGAAAAATGCCTCTCCCTTCACATGGAAAAATGAAACCCTACTTCGTGATCAGAGATCCATCCTGAAGATTCATCCTGAAGGCACATTTGTGGGTGTGTGACATGATATGGACACAATGCCTCCCACTCAGTCTTCTGCTAGTCACAGAGCAGAGTCAGTCTCTTTCACAAGCAGAGAGACATAAAAGCATGGAGACTGGCTATTTGAAGTGCTAAAAATGCCAGTTAAGCCCTTCTCTGTGAGAAGTTATACAAATACTATGAAAAAGTCCAAACGGATAGTCTTTGGAAAACTTGTGAAATCAAGCTCTAAAACTCACAAATATCAGTCAGAGGCTTTGAACAAAAGCCTGAAGGGGTTTTGATGCTGAGAAAAAGTTCAGGTTATATTTAAAGATTTTATTTTATTTGAGGCCAAGAGGAGATCAAAGATAGATGATGAAATGATTTTCAATCATTTGAAGACAAACAGAAAGGCACTTAATGACAGTCAGACATTTGTGTTGTTGTCAATCTTTTTCCATATGGTGTATACCTTTTTATGTAGAATAGTGGTCAATTAGTAATTGTGATGCTGTATTCATGTAATAAAGGGTTTTATTTCTACAGTAGATACAAAGAAACTTGTAGCTTTATTCTCATTTAACTGCCCCATGGAGAAGACTTGCTGCTCACATCACAGCCCAGGTACCACCTTGCTCCTGCTGGTAGCTCATTCAAATTGTGGACACAGGCTTAGCAAAGCTTACCTCGGTCTCACAAACTCAGATCTATAGCGTGATGCCAAAGCTCACACATATAATCCTGTTGTTATTTTCCTTAGCTTTCCTTTCTTTTATGTTATTTTTGTTCATTTCTTTGCCCAGATCTTTGACTTTTTCTCCATTGCTTAGATACCAATGCTTGGAAAACGTTAGATTGAATATAAACTCGTTTCATCAAGTTGCTAGTTTTACAGATAGCTCCATCTAAATACTACATGTTAAATTAATGACAACCCACCATCCTTTAAGACAATGAAGTGCTTCTGTACTGACAGTGCTGACTCTACAAATGACTCCCGTCTTTTAGGCTTCCATCCCATGAAGCAATTCTGGAATGATGTGTTCAGATTCGCATAATTCTTCCAAACACTTGCTGAAAACATTTTTAATATTGACAATGTTTTCAACTACTGTTTACATTTGCAGGTACACAGTCAAAACAACTTCAACAACAAAAATTTACCACAAGTACAGGAGACACTTCAGAACAGCATTGCTCATTGCTAAATTCTAATTGACCTATTTTAACAGTGTATTTATAAATGGTGTGCTTTGGCTACCATGTTTTCCTGCTGCAGATGTGCGAAAGAAATACAAAGCAAATTTCCAACACATCAATTGTATTATAACTAAATTAAATAAGTATGGTTTTGAGGGGAAAACCCAATAATGTTATTAGAAGTTCTGAGGGAGCTGCAGATGTGTGAGAGTGAATAGTTAATTGCCACATTATTCAGTTAAGCCCAAGCATTTAAGTGCCTTCAACTCCACAATGGACAGAATAAATCAGGAAGACATGAAGCTTGGGGAGAAACCCAGCTTCGCTGGAGCCGGTGTTGCATTACCAGATGGTGGGCCCATGCACGCCCATGGAAACAGAGACAAACTGAACAAGTAGGCAAAATCAGAACTGGATGATCTCCCAATAGCCCTCTGTTGGGCCCTTCTCAACATGACCTTTTTATTTGATTTTAAGTGGCATGTCCTCCCAGAGCATCAGACATGCCCATTCAAACATGTGCATACGTCCCAAAGGGGAATGTCCTTAAAATTTCTATTATCAGTCTCTTTGGAAAACTTAATGAGAGTATTCTCATAACTTACTACTATTGGAGCAGTTAATGTAACTCCAAATGTATTAATTTCTTACTCACTTTTAACTTTCCTTAACTAGAGCTCTGAGTAGTGCCATCAATATTTTGTGTTTGATGAGGATTAGACAATGTATTCTATTATTCCATTGTGCCTTTAATTGTGTGATTGAAGTATTGAAGAAAATTTATTTAACTAGAAACCTGACATTTTAGGGTCATTTAAACCCGGTAGTGGTTTGAATTTCTTTTTTGCAGAATATATTCTTGAACTCAGACCATTTAGTCTTGATAAGTCTCTTTTTGAAACTAAGCTTTTACATTTCTTAAATATTTAGTCCCCTACTGCAAATTTAGGTCTAGTCACCCCAATAGAGTATCATGCAACCTCTTTCAACTATGTAAAATATCTATTTTAAATTGCATCTCAGAATACCATAACCCATCAAAGTCATAGTTTCATGAACAAATCCAATAGATTCTCAATAAATCACTTACATAAGGGATATTCAATGAGTTTTGATTTATTTCTTTACATAAAGACCATAAACAAGGAAACAACAGTAGCTTCTCAAAACACTGTATGTTCCTCCCTAACAAAATCACCCCTGGTCACTGTAGCATCATTCTGACAGCTCTAGTTTTCTAGAAGATGTACTTGTCCATATTTATAGTAGCTGATAGGATTTTAGTTGATTGCTTGTGACATTTTGTCTAGACCAGAAGGGCAAAGTCTACTATGGAAAATTCATTTTGGGGAGCAAGGCAATATTTCATACTTCAAAGGCCAAAAGAATAAAATGATTTCAAAAGATGTATTGCCGTATGTGCTTTCAATGACAAAAAGCGTCAAATTTTTTTCTAAGCAGAGCAAGCTAAATAATCAAAACCAAACTATTCTTTGGATAGCCCTTCAATCATTTTGCTTTACTCCAGAATATTGCTTAGTAAAGAGCATTGCCCGTTTTCTATTCTCTGACACATTCTGAGGTTACGAGTACAAAGGTTTGCAGGGAAATAAAATGGGAATTAACTCCACCTAAATGACCCCTGGCATTTCTGGCCTTTCCATTGGTGATTTTGGAGCTCAAAGGCAGAAACGTCAGGAAGAGTTTTATCCCTTGCCGACAGAGACAAAATCAGAGAAGGCATGAAAATAAATCCCAATTAAATTTGAACGTTGGAGGCTGAACTCTGTCTTTGTGTATCTAGATGCCTATTTAACAACATGGAAATGATATGCAAAGACACTATTGTTCTGACTTTAAAATAGATGACAACTGCTTTATAATCCCTAATAATAAAATAATTCCTTACATTTATGAAGTGCTTCTCCTTTTACTAAAGGTTTGCGCATATGTCATCAAGGTTATAAATAGAGGTGTAATGATGGGAAAATCAATAGAATTAATAGGAAAAACACTTATCAATTCATACCCTGCCATTTGATCATTTACGAAGTAAATGTCTTAGCATTCAATCCTGTCACTACTCATGACTATCAGTTGACACTTTTTAACACAGTCCCTTATCTTAACCCGTTATTACTGTACATTCAAGAAAAATGCCATCTCACATACATACCACAGTTTTCTTCATCACTGTCATCATCACAGTCAGCCTGGCCATCACATCTTCTGGAAGCCAGAACACACCGTCCTGAGCCACACTTGAAGTGACTAGGTGAGCATTCTGTGAAAAACAATGGGCCATATTACTGTCAAGAGACAGAAGACCCAGAACCATCAGCTAATTTGTTTATATGTGGGATGCTGTGGAGAAGCTGTTACTGAAGATAAGAATGGTCTTCCATTCAGCAAAGCTGAAACAGCCAAAGTTAACTTGGCTTTCTTCTGTCTGCTTATCAGCGTTTTTCTCCTTCATCCTTGGCATCATCTCTCCAGATCAGCTGTTGAGTGTCTTTATGCTTTCCAGCAATTAACTATCTTTCCCAATGGACACCCAAACAGTTGCCAGAGCCTGAATGTCCTGTGGAGTCAATGCTTCTAACTACCCAGCTGCCTTTAATGTGGCAAATTGTTTCCTGTCCTAATCTTTCCACCTGGTGGGCAGGTCCACAATTCCATTTCTCTACCCGATGATCTTACATTGCCAAGGTCTCTGAACATTTTGCACTTGAAGAAACCAAGGCTTGATGTCGCCCATTACCTTCAGAACCTCTAGTATAAAAGCAGCATCCATACATAATGGATTCTGTGAATTAATTGTGGTTAAAATAAATACCTGGAATATTAAATTCATCCCTGTCATTTATTTTTAAAATGAAGACAAAGTATAACAGATGAGCACCAAATTCTCCAATGTAATCAAGTTTATAGACCCACTCACCTATGCAGCCTGATTGGCAACTAAATAGAAAAAACAACAACAGAGAAACTTCAAAAGGTGGCTGTTAGATTCATCATGTTAGACACCCCACTGTAATCAATTTAGAAAGCAACCTTCCACATCTTCATCAGGCATTAGGCAGGTGTGATTAACTGAATTTTCCTCTGGAAATTGATTGCAATCTGTGTCTTCAGGCCACTGTAGGCCCACGATCCCAAGAACAGACTCACAGTGTTCTTTGGAGTGCTCACATAGGGCTCTAAAAGAGCAAGAAAGACAAAACATTAGAAGCACAAATAGCTACATCTGAGATGTGTGTTAAGAATCTATGTAGAGTTTTAATTCTGTGTGGGTTTAGGTCTGTATGTGTATGTAGCGTAAGTGTGTACCAATATATATAGATGCACATATACATAATAGGTACTTGGGAAACCCAAATGAGTAATATCTCTACAAAGGCAACATTCCAGCAGCATACTTGCACCAAAAGAAACTTCGTTTCAGAAATAGAAACAGAGATTTGTTTTGTTTTTCATTGAAATATATTTGACATGTATGATGTAAACTTAAGGTGTAAAACATATTGATTTGATACATTTATATGTTGTAATATGACTGCCATTGTAGTGATAGTTAGCATCTCTATCATGTCACATGACTATCATTTCTTTTTTGTGGTTGGAATAATTAAGATCTAGACTCTTAGCAAGTTTGATGATTATAATACAATAGGTCTATATTCACTATACTGTGCATTGCATCTCCAGGAACTATTTGTCTACTAGTTGCAAGTTTGTACCTTAAACAACATCTTTAAGAAGATTCCCTTCTCCAGTTTGCCTTTCTCATTCTCTCTTCTGTCTTTCAGGCAGATACATTCTCCAGTGTTTTTGTTCCAAGCAGGGAAGGCCCCAATATCACTTTGGATAGTCTGCCACCAAAAGTCACGGAATCTGTACAACACTCTCATTCTCAGAGGTCACTCCCTCCAGTGACAAGCCATGTGAGCCACTGCATGTGCCAACCTGGCTTGCCTAGGGCATTGCCTCCATTACTTCAGCTTAGATCCAATATTGTTGAAACGCTTGGTACTTCCCCCAAACCCATTTACGTTGATCTCAAGTTAGTTATAATGAAATTTATTGTTGCTGTTGTTGTTGTTTAAAGAAAAGATAACCTAAGCATTGTGCTGGGTGCTTTCATGTGCGTTATCCCATTTGTACCCAAAATATTTTTAAACCGAGGTATCAGCATGTCTCAGAGAAGGTTTCTTTACTTCCTATGGAAAAAAAACATGCTTTTGCCTCAATGTATTACCAAGAAATTAATTACATGGTTAAAAAAAAAAAAAGGCAGACATAACCAAAGTAAATTCCTAGGCAAATTTCTTATTTCCTTTCAAATACATTCTTATTTCTCAAAAGTTTCAAACTTTAAACTATAAGTTAATTTCAACAAGGTAGGGAATGGTTAGCAATTGAGTGGGGACGTTTCAGAGAAAGCTCTGTCTACATTTAAGACTGGACAAGGCAGAGCATAACTCAATGCTGCTTTAGCCTAGGAATTTGGGACAAAGACGAAGTCATGATGTTCCCATACTAGTTTTGTCAAAATGAGAAGTTCAATAGTGTTCAATAACTCTCTGTTGGACTAAATATTTTTTTTGTAGATTTGTTAAAAATTTATATAATTCAACTGATGCTGCTATTTTAAATTAACCATATGATATCTAATTTATATGGAAGACTGTACAGTGCCTGACTTGACCACATCCTATTTTTTCTATAAAATGGAAATAATACAATATGTGGCACTACAACTCCAGGGGGCACTCTTCTCGCAATCCGTATGGTGCTCAGCCATAGACAGCTGCCCTGATGGCAGGGGCCTCGCTCAAAAGGTTATTTTGAGGATGAGATGGCAGAACTACCCTAACGTATTGAGCACATTGTAAGGACTCAATAATGTTAAATTTTTCAGACTCGTAACTTAAAAACTAAATTAAGATCAATAAATAGGCTTGGCAAAAGCAAGTATGTATTTGCTTCATGAACGTATTAGTATATTATTCTCGTCACAATATAAAAAAAATTTTCTTATAGACAAATATCAAAATGTAAAATTTATTTTGATAGCCACTGAGAATGAAAAATGTTAAGTGTAAACCTGAGAAACAGAACTTAATTTCTAAAAGAAGTTCACCAAAATGCTGATTGAATAACAGTTCAGGATAAATCTCATCTTAGGTATTTTAGTATGAAAATTAAGCCATGAAATTATAAATTATATGTGGATATAAATTTGTTCCAGAGAATACTACATCAAGAAACTTTTTATACATATGAAAAGAAAGTCAAATACAAGAATTTAAGTACTATTACAAGTAATTATTCACTATCATTGATCTTGCTTAGAAAAAGTGGAATAAGATTTAGAAATAACTTGTAACATAAAATTGGTAGGTATTTTATCAGCGATACTTTAAAAGTCATTTAACAGAAATTTTCAGAATTATGTTGCACAAGCCAACAATAAGCTTTACTGTCTCTATTTGTTTAATTGGTCCGGTTCCCCAAGTCATTTTGAAATTTTATCGTTTCCTGTCCCAACTCTATGCTGCCCCTACCTTGTCATCCATTTGATATTCAGTATAAAATTTATTGTTTTCCCATCTGTCCACCATATTGATAGTATTGCTTTTTCTTAAAGCTCTAAGTAACTTCTGATCCCAACATATGGTTTCCGTAGATACCACTCACATTTAGACAAGCACATCTGTATAGTCACCCCTTGATGGAAAACATCCGCCCCAGAGATGGCAGCAACCCACCTCTGTGACAGCCTCTTGTATGTGCATATTCTCTGACTACAACCCCTAACACGTGGCATAGAAGAAGGGCAAAACTGCCATAATGTAGTTGTGTTCCCATCCTGTCATCAGAGCTACTGTTTATTCAAGGTTTACAACTGATTGGAAGCACCTTACATCTATGCACATCCATTTAATCTCACAACAACCCAACTCAACAATCATCACTAGCCTGATTTTACAGGTCAAGGAACTGAGGCTGGGAGAGACTGAGGCATCTGTCTCAGGCTACACAGCAGCTAGAGAAGAGCCAGGCTTGAATCAGACAGTGGACTCCCAAGTAGCTCTCTTAACCTGGAGGACATCACTCATATCCTAGTCCAAGCCACACTCTGGAAATGCTGTCCCTTACAGTTCTCCCACCTTATCCTCAGGGATACGTTCCAAGACCTCCAGTGGATGCCTGAAGCCACCACGGATGGTACCCACCCCTATACGTTCATACTATGCATTTTCCTATACATCCATACCTATGATAAAGTTTAATTTATAAATTAGGCACAGTAAGAGATTAACTACAACAACTTCTCTTCGGCATATCTGAATTGCTAGCATCACTACTCTTGTGCTTTGGGGCCATTATTAACTAAAATATTCAAAATAAATAATTGAATACAAGCACTGCGATACTGGGACAGTCGATCTGATAACTGAGAGAGCTGCTAAATAACTAACCAGTGGGTAACGTAGCGTATACAACGCAGATACACTGGACAAAGGGATGATTAATGTCAGGGTGGAACGGAGCAGGATAGTGAGAGATTTCACCACACTACTCAGAACAGAGCACAATTTAAAACTTATGAATTGTTTATTTCTGGAATCTTCCATTTAATATTTTCAGACCTTGGTTGACCTCAGGTAACTGAAACCGCAGAAAGCAAAACACAGATAAGGGAGGACTACTGTATTTCATTCAAGCAGGTAGAAAAACGTCAGTGATGTCCATCTCCTGCCCAGCCTGTGCGGTTGTGTTATGTTTCCTTCAGGCTATTCCTTGCGTAATGTACCTAACTTTTGAGTGTTATCAGAAGGCAGCATTTTAAACACATCAATGTTGCCAGAGAAAGAGGCAGATATACCCCTTCTTCTGCTAACTGACATTTCTAAAAACACTTTTTGACCAGCCAAAATGATACACACGTGATTTGCTTTGATTAAAGTCCACGAACTATTATCAAAGGCAGTTCATACCTCCCTTGTTTGGTAGTTGAGTAATGAAATCGTACTCAAGTATTCATTTTAGAATTCCCACTTCTTTCCCTTTTAAATACATAATTTGTTAAAAACAGAGCTCCTTGGCAAAATACGCACTTAGTCTAAGCTCAAACTAAGTTTTCATTCCCATGGTTCTCCCTGGGGGAAAATGAGGATGCTTGAGGGAGACCCCTTGTATTACCTGCAAGGGGGGATACGTTGGTTTGTCTTCATGTCACACTTTGGTACCAGAATGGTGCAAGCAAAGAACATGAGGTATTTGTAACAATTGGTTTGTACAAGCGCAGGGAAAAGAGAGGACTCCCAGCTGATGGATGCTTCCTTTTGAGTCCTGTGGCCAAGGTAATTTGGATAAGTTGTATGGTTGTAGGGCAAATTCATGCAGAGTTCCAACGTAATTGGTTCACATTGACCTAACAAGAAAACACACATATGGATATATATATGTGTATATATATATACACATATATATATTAATTTCACATGTGAAACAATTTCTTAAAAACTTACGAAATTGAAGTCTATCGTACCTTCTTTCTTTAAAGTAGTGAAGACTAGAATGCAAGTGGTATATAACATTGCTATCGAAAGATAAATAATTTGGTTAACGAAGTGCCAAACCAAGATTCATTTCTGTATATGTAGCTGCTAGCATAGTGCCCAGCACGCATGTTTTAGAACGTCGTTCTCATTTTTTCCCTCAGTTCAACTTGTCTGAAAGTGACTCTCTTTTATGATTCCTTCTACTCGCTTTAATTTGTCTTCTTCTTCTGATTTATTCATTACTTCTAAACTAGTATATCCCCCATCATCTTCACAGCCATTAAAAAAAATGAATTTGGCTAAATAGGCAATTAGATGACTTTTTTCTATGTTTTATTGTTGATTAATAGATTTAAATATAAAGCTACAAGATTTCAGGGCAGGGGAGGCTGAAATTGGTTAGATATCCATTGCCAATGAGATAAAATCCTAACTCGTTAGCTTGGCATCCAAGGCTATTTTACACTCCAACCACGGCCTAACTTTCCGGCATCATCATCTATGACTATCGCGTCAGCAATATTTCCTTGGCAACACCAGACGTTTTAAGAATTGCATGCCTTCATGAGCCCCGTTAGCTCCTCTCTTATCCCCTTCTTTTCTTGATATACTTGTAATCACCCCTCAAATGCAGTCATGCTTCTAGCTGCCAGGTACGTATATAGCACCCACTGCCTAGAATGATCCTTTCCCATCCTCCTCACCAAGCTAACTCCTCCTTGGCCTGCAGGACTCAACATAAACACCTCTTCCAGGAAGGCTTCCTGGCCAACTCCTCTCCGCTTCCCAGTCCCAGTACGAGTTTCTGCTGAGCGCCAGAGCTTCTTAGGCGTGTTCCTGCCGCACACACTGCTCTCTGTTGTATTCTTTACTTAGTTGCCGCCCCCACACAATTCAAAGAATTTCGAGAAATGAGACTTTATTTCTTTATCTCAAAGTCTGCACCTAGCACAGTGCCAGAATGACGGAAGGAAAGGAGGGGGGGATAAGTGTCAGGAACTATCCTAGGCACTTAAAATGTAAAAATAACAAAAGAGAGTCCCTGCCATTGAGGCACTCCACAATCCTCCCAGGAAGAAAGACACATGCTGGCAGTTGGAGTATAACATGAACAGGCTAGAATAGTTGTATCGAACGAATGCTAGGAGCCCAGAGGGACACGGTGGAGCAAGAGTGTCTCAGGAAGACTTCCAAGGATAAAAGAGGTTCAGGCAGGTTCGGGGGAATGCAGTAGAAAGACCCCCTGTTCCCTCTCTGTCTGCAGTAGATGTGCCACATTCCCAGAGGTGAGAGAGGTAATCAAGCGAGTGTCTTGTCAAGTCAGTAGATACAGCTCTAACTCTATATTTTTCCCAACTTCTTTAATATAATTTACAAAAATGGGATCATTCACAGAGATTTGGATGCAGTCTTTTTTTCCTTGAATATGACTTTCCTTTCTCTCTCTTCCTCTACCACCAGATCAAGTTTTAACTTTTTATCGGTGTATTTCATTTAGTTGATGAATAGACATATCACATGGATAACAGTCCTATCTTTTGATACCTGGAGAACCTATCACTTTCAATTTGCGATAAGATACAGGCTTTAGGTGTTTCAGAGCTAAGAGAGATGAAAGGATTAAGTTATGATCATATATTATTCCAAAGATCTTTATTGAATGTGGTAAGCTTGATTGAATCTTGTGCTTTCTTCCTTCATAAGGCATTCTTCACAGAGTGCTAAGCAAGATAAACTCTCAAGATATCTGTCAGCCTCAAATTCTATGATTTATGATATCAATAAGCTTTTTTATCTTCATCATTAGGCTCACTCGCTAGCCTGATTTATGAGAGCCACTAGAGGGCGATCGCGTCACAAATATGTGAGGATGTTTAAATACCCAGGATTGTTTTCAATACAATTTTGACGCAATGTCTAGCATGATGTCCTGAACTAGATGAGGTTTAATAAATATCTGTTGAAAAAATGATCCTGATGGTGTCTCAATGATATCCCACCTTTCAAAGTCTGAAAGAAGATTTGTTAAATTCAGCCTAAAGATGGAATTAACTAAACGATGTTACATCCTTGTCATGATGCAATCAATACTCTGAAGCTACCAGAAATTATGTTTTAAATAATGGTCATTTACATGAGAAAAGTCACTTTTCAACATCCATCAGCATATATAATAATATTCCAAGATTCATCGTTGCCTCAAACTCTATATCTCTCTTTATCATTATTATTTTGAATAGTTAGATGAGTTATTACAAGGTGAACACCCTTGTAACTACCAACTAGGTCAAGAAATTGAACTTTGCCAGACATCCCAGATGCCCCTCCATATACTCCTGTCTTAGTTTTATTACCTAAGTGTGCACTGCACCCTAGATACTACAGTTTAGGTTTGTCCGTTTTTTAAATTTGTTTTAGGGGCCAACCCGGTGGCATAGCAGTTGAGTTCACACACTCTGTTTTGGTGGCCCGGGGTTTGTGGGTTCGGATCCCGGGCACAGACCCACACACTGTTCATCAAACCATGCTGTGGCAGCGTCCCACACACGAAGTGGAGGAAGACTGGCACAGATGTTAGCTCAGGGACAATCTTCCTCACCAAAAAAAAATTGTTTTATCTTTTCAGACTCTTATAATATTTGGGTTCCCCCTCCATCTCTTTATTTTTCCTTAAAGTTTATCTGTTGAAGAACCCAGGGATTTGACCTGTAGAGTATACCATAGTTTGGATTTTGCTGATAGAACACTCCCGGTAAGGGTAAATATGTTCCCCTGTCCTCTCTATATCTGGAGCACTGGGAGCTGTATCTGGAGAGTTGATTAGGTTTCATCTCTTTGGGAAGACTATAAGTGCTGTGGTGTTCTTTCATCAGAAGGCACATCATTACACCGAAAACTATAAAACATTTCTGAAAGAAATTGAAGAAGACACAAAGAAATGGAAAGATATTCCGTGCTCTTGGATTGGAAGAATTAACATAGTTAAGATGTCCATACTTCCTAAAGCCATCTATAGATTCAATGCAATCCCTATCAAAGTTCCAACAACATTTTTCACAGAAATAGAACAAAGAATCCTAAAATTTATATGGAACAACAAAAGACCCCGAATAGCTAAAGGAATCCTGAGAAAAAAGAACAAAGCTGGAGGTATCACACTCCCTGATTTCAAAATATACTACAAAGCTATAGTAACCAAAACAGCATGGTACTGGCACAAAAACAGACACACAGATCAATGGAATAGAATCGAAAGCCCAGAAATAAACCCATACATCTATGGACAGCTAATCTTTGACAAAGGAGCCAAGAACATACAATGGGGAAAAGAAAGTCTCTTCAACAAATGGTGTTGGGAAAACTGGATAGCCATATGCAAAAAAATGAAAGTAGACCCTTACCTTACACCATACACAAAAATTAACTCCAAATGGATTAAAGACTTGAATGTAAGACCTGAAACTGTGAAACTTCTAGAAGAAAACATAGGCAGTACGCTCTTCGACATCAGTCTTAGCAACATCTTTTCAAACACCACATCTGACCGGGCAAGAGAAACAATAGAAAAAATAAACAAATGGGACTACATCAAACTAAAAAGCTTCTGCACAGCAAAGGAAACCATCAACAAAACGAAAAGACAACCTAACAATTGGGAGAAGATATTTGCAAACCATACATCTGATAAGGGCTTAATCTCCAAAATATATAAAGAACTCATGCATCTCAACAACAAAAAAACTAACAACCCAATTAAAAAATGGGCAAAAGACCTGAACAGACATTTCTCCAAAGAAGATATACAGATGGCCAACAGACACATGAAAAGATGTTCAAAATCACTAACTATCAGGGAAATGCAAATCAAAACTACAATGAGATATCACCTCACGCCCGTCAGAATGGCTATAATTAACAAGACAGGAAACAACATGTGTTGGAGAGGTTGTGGAGAGAAGGGAACTCTCATACACTGCTGGTGGGAGTGCAAACTGGTGCAGCCACTATGGAAAACAGTATGGAGATTCCTCAAAAAATCAACGATAGAACTACCATATGATCCAGCTATTCCACTGTTGGGTATTTATCCAAAGAACTTGAAAACACCAATTTGCAAAGGTACATGCACCCCTGTGTTCATTGCAGCCTTATTCACGATAGCTAAGACTTGGAAGCAACCTAAGTGCCCATCAAGGGACGAATGGATAAAAAAGCTGTGGTATATATACACAATGGAATACTACTCAGCCATAAGAAACGATGAAATCCAGCCATTTGTGACAACATGGATGGACATTGAGGGCATGATGCAAAGTGAAATAAGTCAGAGGGAGAAGGTCAAATACCGTATGATTTCCTTCATTAAGTAGTAGATAATAACAACAATAAACAAACACATAGGGACAGAGATTGGATTGGTGGTTACCAGAGGGGAAGGGGGGAGGGAGGAGGGTGTAAGGGATAATTGGGTACATGTGTGTGGTGATGGGTTGTAATTAGTATTTTGGTGGTGAACATGATGTAATCTATGCAGAAATAGAAGTACAATGATGTACACCTGAAATTTTTACAATGTTATAAACCAATGTTACTGCAATAAACAAAAAATTAAAAAAAAAAAAAAAAAAAAAAAAAGAAGGCACATCATGTCTGATTTCTCTCTTTTTGTGATGTTGGCAGCTGTAGATGCTCAATGCCTTGACCCATTAATTCACTGTGTTACCGAATGGTAGTATTCTAATTCAGTCATTTATTTTTCACTTACTAGTTGGGAATGCTTTTACAGAGAGATTATTCCTCTCATCTACTATTTGCTCCCAAAGACTGAAGTCCTTAAACATTATGGTGTTTGGCTTTGTTTTAACCACACCCCTATACTATTTGTTCCTTCCAACTAGAGACTACAAAGAGAAGGCAGGAAATTGATAGACCATGGGAAATTATTCAAAGAACAAAGCTGTTTATTTCTTCCTCGGTGTTGAAGAAAAAAATGCATGAGTACACCCATAGAACTAAAGGTCTATAGAACTCTGTGGAAAACTTGAAAAGTCCCTGGACATGACAGTCACACTTGGCTTCATGCAGCCATGGCAGTCATGGGCACAGAGAGGCGAGGAGAGACACATGCCCAGCAGCTGCTCTTCTGCCAGGCTCCCCCCAGTCTTGATTGCACACTACAAGGCAGAAGCGATGGATTAGTCCCTCCACACCAGAGTGAAGGGAAATACTATTCCTGCTCCTACCCCCTAAGGCAAGGATATGTCTGTACTTTGCTTCCCAGAACAATGCAAAGATCTTAAAGATTCTGGGCTATGAGTGGATATGGTGATATTGTGATAATACTTCAAGCCTATCAGCACACAATATCATCAGAGATGTGGGATTTAGGCTTTTTTTTTTTTTTTAATTGTAGGCATTTCTGGAAATCTGAGATAAGCCACGGACCTTCTCCATTGAAAAATTTGAAAACTATGAAAATTTTTTCACATCCAATTTCAGGGATGTCACTTCCCCTGCAGCCTAGTCATGAACAGACCACTAAAGCAATAATTCTCAACCTTGGCTGCACATTGGGGTCACCTGGGGAATTTTTAAAACACTGATGCCTGGGTCCCACCCAGTGTATCTTCAAGGACCATCAGAAAGTTACATAATATTTTATGGGATGGCAAGAACCAGTGTCTTCAAGGACTAGACTCCCAGCAACTCCAGTGAGAGGCTGACTCCACCAGACAGAATATCCACATTCTCCAAACTCATATTCTCCATTGGCAGGAAGCTAGAGAAAGAAACTGTTGTTCAGTTGTGCCTCAGACTCTAAGTAATAAAAGTCTCTGATAGTGGTAAACATCTTCAAATACTTAATCACATTTTCAAGTGCATAAGGAGTTTTCTGAGAGGAGATGCTACTTTTCCACCTTTACAGAGAACCAAGCATACACATACCATTCTGAAGCTCTCTGAAAAATAAGGAATAACATTTTTACTCTCAACTGGAAGTGAGGCATATACACTGTTTTTAATGACACAGAAGGAATGCGGGACCAATGACTAGCCCAGGGCTTGGTACTCAGAAGAGGGGAATGTTCAAATGTTTGCTGAATATATATGGAGAGAATCTGGCAAGAACATCTATGGTGAATGAGGAGATAAGATAGTGAGATGCTAGGGACTCTGTTTGAGTGTATTTGAAGAACACAAAGAGAAAACCAAAGTAGTATATGTGAGTGGGAAGATGGCAGTATATTCCCCCATGTAGAAAAGTTATCTCCAGAAAGGCTGAAATCATCTCTCCCTTCTTTGCCATTAAAGTGCCCAGTGCCCATTCCAGTGCCTGGAACATCGCAGGCACACTATAAATACTGGTTGAATGTATGAGCCAGAGTTATCTAGTGCCCTTCCTACAACTTCTTTTTTTGAAAAGTGATAACATATTTTTAAATTCTTAATTTTGAAATATTTCTAGCATAGAGAAAATCGAATAACATACACCCAGTTACTCCCCACTCAGATTGGACACAGGCTAACGTTGCTCTTTTAACTTTTTTGAGTCTAACAGTAAATGCCCTTCCATGTCAGACAACCCTCAAAACTTTAATAATAAACACATGTCTGAGAGAACACCGCCACTGTTCAAAATTCTTCATCCCAATTTCAAAGTGAAGTAAAAAAATAATTCTGATAAAGTTCCAGGGCAGACTGGGAGATAAGCAAAGTGAAACAATGGACCCAGAACATATCCATATCCATATCCATATCCATACACACAGACACACACATATATATACATACACACATATACATATGCATACACACGTATATACATACAGATATACACACACATACACGTATATTTAAATCGGTTTAGAGTGAGTAAAATGGCAGTGTGTGTTAGTGGTCAGACTAATATCTATCTGAACTGTTCTCTCATATGGGAAACAGAGGAGGGCTGGGTATTGTGCTTTCAGCCAAATACTTATTAAGCGCTCATGAAAATAAACAAAAATGCCTGTCAGTCTGGGTTTTTAATTGGCTGTCTCCTTTGCACTCCTATCCAGTCCACTGTTTTCACCCCTTGAGACTCCCTAATGGTTTCAGGGGCACCCTCTTTAAGCTCTACATTGACCCAGAAGGGTCACTGAGTAAAACTAGGACCCAAAAACAGCAGCAAGTCCAGGACCCAAACCCTTCAGCCTTTCAATCTCCCAGCTTCCATTGGCCTTCAGCCGCGAGGACACGTGTGAAGAAGTCATATCTTCTTGCCAACTGAATGCTGACAGATCTGCTACTAAATGTCAAGTTGAAGGTGAGGCTGAAAACTCATTATAAAAAGCAAAAGAGTGAATAGAATATGAAAGCAGAGCCCAGGAGTAAGGAATCATTACTAGAAATCAGAGTCTTTGACGGGGATTCTGATTCGTTTTAAATTTCTTATGAGAGTCTACACAGTCGTCCACTGCTCCTGCCCATTTTATCTTAGGGGAACTAAGAATTCTTCCCCCTGAAGCCAATTTAGAAAGAGCCACCTGTTTACACCATTTGGAGCTGGTACGTTGTCACCGGAACAAATTAACGTAATGGCTGCAAGATCATTATAGGTCAGCAAAGTTCCTGGAAAGGTGAGAATAAGTTTTACTAAAAGAAGAGACCGCCAAAGTTGTACGTGGCTATTGAGATGAACTTCATCTTTGCTTCTTAGATAAAGTTTCCATTTTTGAAGCTGTGTTTTACAAAGGAAGAAAGATAGCATCTGCTTGCAGATGGAGCCAAGAAAATAATATATAGGAGCTGATGTTGAGTTGAAAGTAATGGTAACGACATTAAGCAATGTGGATTTATGGCCCATTCACAACGACACATTTGTTTCTGATTTAAGTTAATTAAGACCATTTTGTTTCTTTTCTGCTACCACATGCAACCTTCAAAAAAGAAAAAGACAACAGATATATATATTTTTGAAGGGATTCCAGACTTCAGTATTTTAATGTCAATGCAAAAGAGAAAAGCAGAATGCATATCCTGCCACGGTGATTGCATTTGTCAGCTGCTGTACTTACTACAGTTATTCAGACTGTTGTTCAGGTCACAGAGAGAGCTACCACCACATGAATCAAGGCAGGAATTGTAGAGGCATCTTTGGTCGCCTTCTTGACATGGAGTCTGACCTACGGGGGGTGGGGAAAGGCACATTCACTTGCATCATCTGTAAATTCCTTACACGAGGATCTAAAGGATCAAGAACGTCTGGCGGAGCCAAGGAATGACACAACTGTAATTTCCTTCCAGTTTCTCCAAAAATATTAAACACATGTTGAATAGGTACTTTCTGGATTAATTCTCCTGGCAACTAAATACAACACAGTTATTCCAAAATGATTCTGTAGGAATGAAGAAACAAGAGGCAGCCTATCCTCCCCAAAACAGGTTGTTGTTGCTTTTAATGGAAAAAAAGATAGTGCTTTATATTTACACGGGTGCATATACTTGATTACAAAATAAAATTCAATTGATTTGAGGGAGAGGCCAATATAAAGATATTGAAATTTTGAATCTTAAATTATGTTATTTTAAAGACTCATTTGCTCCCAATTCTAGTCTTCTCTCTAAGGAAAATGCTTTCCCGAATAATAAATAGGGCATCAACACCAATACAATAAGGATACTTCATCATGGTATGAGTCTTGTGCAGCTGTGATTCATAGTTTCTGTATGTCCTTGGAAAGTATCATTAGCCTAGCTGTCATGACCTGAGAATTGGGTTTCTTGTTTCCAAATGAATGACAACAGTAACGTCAGCCTAATGGCTTTTCCTTAAGGTATGTAGAGAGGAAACTGCTTTTTCCATTGATTTCCTGGTTATTTGTAGATCGGATGGATAAGGTAATAAATTACTGCCCATCCCCCATTATAGTCAATTATTTTCAGACACATCACCTGGATCTAGAAAATCTTGCAAGGCATTTTTAAGTATAAATAATGGAACACATATACATATAAATATCCTTATCTATCATTCTAAGACAATGTTTATTATACTGGACTCTTTCTCCTTTCCAGTACCATTAATACACAACAGTATATATCATAGCCTTGAAGAAAAGAGAGGTGACTCTTTTTTTTTTTATGTCATCAGTGTCAAACTGTTTTTGCAAGGTAAGCCAGGCTAATTTCCATGAGTTTAGTCTCTTAAAGAAATTTTATTAAAACAACATGCATCCATTATAATGCATGATACTAAGTGTCTGCTACATGACAAGCTTATATGACAAGCTAGGCCGTAAGCATTGAAAGATAAAAGAGCACAATAGTTTATACTCCAATTGGGAATATGGTCATGAACAGAACCGTACAACACTGTGTGAGCCTTTCTCCACTGAAGGTACATGTAAGGAGCAGTAGAAGCAAATCAGGGCGGTGCGGGACAGCTTCCCAAAGTCAGATGGGGTAAGTTGGGCTAAGAAGGAAGGATGGGTTTCCCAAGCAGACAGCAGAATGTGCAAAGGCCTGCAGTGGGAAAGTGCACAGGTTGGAGTTTAAGGGAGACTAGAGAGGAAGGCTGAGAGCAGAGCCTGAGGGTTGTGAAGGCCTGAATCTTCACTAGGGCCCAAAACCCGGGGAGAAGTGGTCCCTGCTTCCCTCCCCAGCCTTGTCGGGGAGAACCAGCCCGTGACCGCTGTTGACAATATTCTAAGTGGCACACTCCCCTTCACTCTCAGCTCTCTAATCACAAGGGCCTTCTCCCAGGACCACAAACATGCCTTGCTCCTTCCTTCCTGGGGCCCTTTGGCCAAGCAGTTCCCTGTGTCTGAAATGCTTTCTCCAGTCCCATTCTCCTTCGTTAACTCCACTCATCCTTCAGATCTTAGCTCCAATATCTCTCCCTTGGGGAAGCTTCCCTGAGGCTCTTTACCAGGGCACGCATCCCATATATGGCCGCCTAGCACCCTAAGTTTTCCCTCATGGCTTATGTCACCCCATGGTTAGGCACTGACTTGCAAAATGATTTGTATGATGCCTGTCTCCCCCAGAGCCTGCAAGCTCTGTGAGGTGTTGCGCTTGCCACTAAATTTCCAGTGGTTGACCATGTTTTAGCATCACAATATACATTTATTAAGTTGAATGCATTAAAGAAAATAATGTAAAAAAAGAGGCTAAAATTTTACTGTTCCATCCACTTTATCATATGACTTTCTTACCTCTCACCACATGTGAGGAAATAATCTACAAATCCTGCCATTGCCTAGAATCCAAAATCATTTCAGAGTTGAATTATGTAGAAGGAAAGAACAATTTGATCCTAAGGGAGGTGCTTGGCTGATATACACACAGCAACTTGTGGCTAGAAAAGGATTTCCTTCTGAATTTTAAAATTGGTAAAATGAAGCACTCCTTATCTAATTTTGTATGTAATAAATCTGTGATTAAAAGGCTCTCCCCTTAGGGGCCAGCCCTGTGGTGTAGTGGTTAAGTTTGCACACTCCGCTTTGGCGGCCCAGGGTTCACAGGTTCGAATCCCGGTGTGGACCTACACACCGCTTATCAAGCCATGCTGTGGCAGGCGTCCTGCATATAAAGTAGAGGAAGATGGACACGGATGTTAGCCCAGGGCCAATCTTCCTCAGCAAAAAGAGGAGGATTGGCAATGGATGTTAGCTCAGGGCTAATCTTCCTCACCAAATTAAAAAAAGGCTCTTCCTTTAGATGTGGAGTGCTTGTTCCATCAAAGCTATTCTAATGAGCATATTCATTATGACAAAACTAATTTAGCTACAGGTGACCAATCTCATTAGCTGATTTGTGATATACACAGTCCAAAACATGCTTTAACGTAATGACCATGTAATAATAGCTAACATTTGTTGAGTGCTCACCATGTGCCAACTCTGTGAAGTAGTTGTCATTATTCCAAGTTTACAGACACAGGAACTGAGATATAACAGGGTTAGGTTACCGGCCTAAAGTCAACCAGATAGTGGGTAGCAGAGCTGGGCTTGAACCCAGGCAGCAGGGCTGCAACAACCACATTCTTAACAATGTGGCGAGATCACTCACTAACAAATGCAGCGATTTTTAAGTCAAGGGATATTCTTACCAGCCCTGTACTGACAGCTGCTTCTACACAAACTGGGGCTTAAAACAATCAGTGTGGAACTTTCTTTTCTGACAGAAATAGACACATTTTAAAAACCAGCTTATTTGATTTGCTTTTTCGAGTCTCACAGATGATATCAGATGCCTTTTAAAGTATATTTAAGTCTATTGCTTCATAATGTGAGGCATTAAACTGCTTCTCTGAACTTGGTTGTTGTAAGAAGCTGTTATATTTAATTTCAGAAGCCAATTCCTTCTAATTGGAATCGAATCTAATTTAATGGGATACCATATACTAAACTTTTCTCTCTATCATGGTGTTGCCTTTCCCCATAAAAAGTTAACTGAATCCATCCACGCCATTTAAGTGTTTAACCTCTACTCTTCATCCTTAGGAATGATTTTCAGTGTAAGTTGGTTGAGAATTATATTTACCACAAGAAAGTGTTTTCTGGCTGACCAGTGCTGTGGGGACCACTGTGTTAGGCAATCTGGAATTATTTATGTGGGAATCCTATTTAAGCGTGAGGTAACTTCCAACGTTTTGCTTTGTTCTCAAGGAAAGGTCCACCAACAAGGAATGTTCCGGGGCTGTAGTGCACACTCACTGTCACCGCAGTTCTCCTCATCACTGCCGTCCTTACAGTCCTCGTCTCCATCGCACTGGAACGTGCTGGGGATGCACTGTCCATTTCTGCACTCCACCAGACCCTGGCTGTGACAGGCTAGGAAAAGCCAAAATAATAGTCACTTTATTTGTTAGTACTTCTTTTAGTCTGCAGATCATACAAATGATTCCCGTTTATCTGGCATCGCCAAGAAATGAAGTGTTCTGAATAGCAGAATGTTTTGCAAATGAATGAATGAATCAATTTTTTTAATTCCTAGTATCTTTGAAATGGAAAGTTTTCTTTCTAGAATTTCTCATGCCTTATTAAATAGCACTTACTGAAAACTGAATTTTTATTCATAACTGCATGATGGGAAGTAGTATTAATGATGGTGGTAGTAATACTACTAACATAAAAGCCACAATTTATTAAAGCCTTACTATATGGCAATAACTGTTAGGAGCGTTGTGTATCTAATCTCAGATTTTCGAAACAAACTTGCAAAGTAGATATTATCAACTTTGTTTAGAATAAGGAAATCGAAGCTTAAAGAGTTTAGTGCCTGTCTCAAAGACACACGGCTGTGACAAGGTAGGGCCAGAACGTGCAGGCAGGCTTCCCTGACTCCATGCCCCAACGTCTCATTCTCTACAACCTGACCTAATGGGCCAGTGAAATGGTATGTGAAAGAACTTGCATAGTACCTAACACACAATAAACACTTTATTTCGAAACTTGCTTATGACGTCTGACATTTGAAAGGAATGATCTAATGGCCATTAACTTTCTAGTTCCTGAAGTTTGTCTAAATTCTATCCCTACTGTCTTTAGGACATCAGAAACCCGCATATCATTGACCTCAGCCTTCATTGAGTTACTGTCTAGTATTAAAACTCCCTAATCTTGGGGGCTGGCCTCGTGGCCTAGTGGTTAAAGTTCAGTGCATTCCACTTCAGCAGCCCAAGTTCTGTTCCTGGCACAGACCTACACCATTTGTTGGTAGCCATGCTGTGGCAGCCCACATATAAAATAGAGGAAAATTGGCAACAGATGTTAGCTCAGGGCAAATCTTCCTCAGCAAAAAAAAAAACAAAAAAAACCCTCCCTAATCTTGAATCAAGGGTCAATACCAGAATTGTTACACTTGAGCACCATGTTCTTGCTTTCCCAGGATCCGTCAAGATACTGTCCACTCTGTTCCACTGTGTCCGCTAAGCAAGGACTCAGGTGATATTCCAGTTCAAATTCAATTCAGGAGAAGGGGAAGCTGGGTATTGTATTTATTCATTAATTTATATGACTTGTCAAATCAAAATAAAAAACATGCAACTCACATTTCTATTTTTGCCTCAAATGATAGGCAAATTATTAACTTTTTCTACTTTTATTGGACAGTAAAAGGTGGAATAAAAAGTTTAATTAGTTTAAACATGCATAAAATGGATCATATTAACTCTTTCAAGTCAATGTTACTTTCTTTTAATAACACTTAGCTGCTTCTACTCAATTATTTTATTATTGTCTACTGAATATACTGTAGTTTCTAGGGGGTAAAAAGAGTTAATTGCCATACTTGATTTCATTAGCTAGGTGACGTAACAGCTACCTAAAGACTGTTCACTCACCCAGACACACAATAGGCTGTGAAGTTATGACTATTATCACACACGCTGTGTAAGTCTGTGAACATTGAAGGCTCTCTTCACTCTGGCAATTCTCTCCATGTTTTCCCACAAAGGGTGCCTGAGAACATGTTTGGAGGCTCCTGGAGGGGAATTCAACTACTCATATATGCAGAAGAAAAGTCCCCCAGCCTCTAGGAAGAATATCCCCTCTGACAAAGTCATGGATGCAGAAAGAAGATGCAAGGATCAATGAGAGAGAAAACAGACACTCACTTAGCCAGATCAGCCCAGTTAAGCTTGGAGTTTGGGTGAGAGAGATGTGGAAGTTGGATACACTACATTGTTATTGTCATTACTTCACTCAATTATTATCTTTATAGGCTAGAATCAAAATATAAGAATCTTCTCTAAATACGTAGAAATAGAAAAGTAAGCAAAATGAAAATCCTCAGGGCACTCACAGCAATTGACCTCGTCAGACTTATCCACACAGTCATGGTCGCCATCACACACCCATTCTATTGCGATGCAGCGCCCATCTCCACAGCGATGCTCCTTGGTGGGACTGCAATCTGGAGAAAACAAAACTCGTGAGGATGTAGAGAACCAGCATGACCAACACCTAGAACTGTATGGCTCATGGTTCCAGCTGAAAAGATTCTATTCCTATTGTTCCGATACTTTTAGTAACTTTGCTATGATGAGTCTGGCACAAATAGATTGTCACCTCCCACCCAAGTGGGGCTCACCAGCCACCATCACTATGAGGTGTCTCAAAAGCAGACCTGTCTGCTTTTCAGATGAGTAACGACTGTCAGCTTTCTCAGGACGCACAGTTTATTCTTTTTGTTGTTTTTTGTTTTGTTTAGTCATTTTCTTTCCTTATGAAAAATTTGTAATTTTTACACTGGCTCCACTAAAAAGAACTGTGATTTGGGTTTCACAGTGTAGATAGCTGATTTGATGTATTTGTGACAACTCTTTGGTGTTTATAAGAATTGTAACTTACCTCCCTATGGGAAATTGGGAAGGCAAGTATCTCCTCCTGTCATCTTTCCTGATGCTAAGCTTAGGTTTTCTATCGAAATTTCTTAATCTATAACTCATATTTTAAAGAACTGCTGGGTAAGAAGTGAAAAATATTTATTTTTTTCATGATTCTTTTTAGCCTGGATTTAACTTCTGTCCCAAACTATACTTTCCTTGGGAAAAAAGAGAACTAAACGATGTTTCTTCTCACAGAGGGCAGAATGTATAGGATTCTTTGCCATGAGACATGGAATAACCTTAATACAAACAACCCTTTAAAAGATGTCTGTGGATTCATGAATAACAGATTCAATAATGAGGAACTATCATGAGTTTCCATTAACAGTGCCACTGTCATTGACAGACTCATGGAGGGACCATGGATCTTAAAGGGTATATTGGAGCAATAAAGTGAAGTATATGGAAGATGAAGTACAGAGGAAAAAATAAAGACACAATAGGTGATGTGCCTGGGCAGGAACCAAAAGAGCCACCGCATGCTCAGCGTGCCAAAGACGGGCAGCTGGGGCAGAGACTAGTCTAAGGGAAAGTTGTAATTATTACTATTAGATAAGAACAAAGTCACCCCAAGAGCACAAACTTCATGATCCTACTATCTTCAAAGGAATTACGTTGCATGGTAAGACCATTCTTTTTCACACGCTAACTATACCCTGGTCTTCTCCATCAACCTATCCAACTAGCAAGCCACACTCTAGCCACCACCCCCCACTTCCCCTCTCTTTTCTCCAGTTATTTCATCGGTAAAAGGAGGGTTGGATTAGATGATCTCTAAGGCCTCTTCCAAGTATAAATTCTATGATGTATACAATTACCATTGTCTCTCATTCTTTGTCCCAAGACTTATCAGCCCCAGAAGATAACCATATCTATCTAGTGACTCGAGGATGGTTTGTACATATATACATTTTCCAACATTTTTATGGATGCAGTGAGGGACAGCTAGACAGGTGCTTCTAGAAACTACTTATTTCCCAGCACAGGGCCATTTCTGACACTCGCCACTCTAAGAGATTCCTCTGATCATACTTTGATCCTTTCCCAGCGCTCCTTTTGACATTCTCTAATGCTGAATATTATTTCATATCGTTTGCCTGGTGTCCCTCCTCATCTCAGCTTGCAAAGTTCTGTATTACCCAATAATACACTACCCAAAAATTCTACAGTTAATCACGAAGTCAAAAAAGTAAATAAGAAGAGGAATTTTGCTAGTTTTAATTCATGACATGACATCAGAATTGAATACAGCTCTTTAAAAGGTAGGTTCTTTCTTTTTTTATTTTTTTTTTTGAGATATAACTGACATATAGCATGTGTAAGTTTATGCCAAGTGAGATAAGTCAGAAAGAGAAAAACAATTACTGTGTGATATCACTTATATGTGGAATCTAAAAAAGCTGAATTTGAAAAAAAGAGTAGAATCGTGGTTACCAGGGGCTGGGGGGTGGGGAATTGGGAAGGTGTTGTTTACAGGTACAAACTGGCAACTAGTAGGTAGGTTCATTCTTTAAAAGATAAGTTCAGGGGCCAGCCAGTGGCATAGTGGTTAAGTTCGCACGCTACACTTCGGTGGCCCGGGGTTCGCAGGTTTGGATCCTGGGTGCAGACCTACGCACCACTTATCAAGCCATGCTGTGGTAGGTATTCCACATAAAAGTAGAACAAGATTGGTACAGATGTTAGCTCAGGGCCAATCTTCCTCATCAAGAAAGAAAAAAAAAAGATCAGCTTTTGTACATAAAACAAATGTGCTGTCCTAATCCTAGGTGTTCCTAGCACAGAAGTCATCCCTGTAGAGCCTGGCAATCAAATAAAGGAGGGGGTTTTTGTCACATATATATAATAAGGGGTCAGGCCCAGAAAATATATCTGTCTGCAAAGTTTTGCCCAACTTTTGCATGAGCCACAGGCTCTAACCAGAGAAGAAATAGAACACTTTCAAAGAGAAAAAATATTAACATATTAACAACCTTTACCCACCTTTCCACTCTATTCTTTAGCATTTCCTTAGTGTGACTTTATGTAAGAAATATTACATTTACACATAAGACATGACCAAAACTAGTAAGTGAAAAAAACCTCCTCTTTCTAAAACTTAAGAAACCAACGATTTTGTAATTTAACCTGCCAAATGCATTAACAAACAATGAGCTACAAGTTCTTTGCTGTAATTGCTTTAATTTTAAATGAAAACTTTTAGTGAGATGATGCTACTTACCACAGTTTTGCTCGTCACTCAGGTCCCCACAGTCATCATACCCATCACACACAAGGCTATAATTAAGGCACTTGCCCGTGTGACAATGAAAGAGATCCTCACTGCAATCTGCAAATAAGAGAAGCCACGGATGTGTCACAGAACAGAATAGGATGTTATAGTTGTACTTTATTTAACAAAACAATATCATGGGAGGAAAGCTGTAATGATAACCTGGTCCACACCTACTGTTTTATGGGTGAGGAGACGGTGGTGCAGAAACATCCAGAGACTTGCTCAAGGTCACATAACAAGTTACTGCAGAACCAGGACTAAGACCCTCTGGCTCCCAAGCCAATGCTTTCATCACTTTTTGAGAGTCCTTATCTGAGTTCCACTTTACGTCCCCTGAAAACTCCTTTACAGTCAAATATGAGAAAAGATAATGTCAACTCACCATAGTTCCTAATAAAGTTCACGACCGTACAGAATGAATAGCTTTGATAGAGGGTGAGCAGTTATTTCCTAAAAGTGTTTCCTTTAAAATTAAAGCCTAGTTTTGTCAATGGTAAGCATAAACATAATGGAGAGAGAAAGTCATTTCAATTAGAGCGTTGTGACTTTCACACAAACATTGCTTAAATAACATGACCCTCAAATAAGCAGTACTGTCCTAGATTATGGTGGCAAGATAAGAATAAGTGATATGTAACCTTGGGAACATTATAGTTTAATGTTGGAATAAACAACACTGAAGGAAATTTTAATAAGGAGATAGGTCTTGTACTTGGGTAAGCCAGAACACATCCTCGTTCTGCCATCTACTAGCTGTGGGAATTTGAGTATATTAGTTAAAATCTATGAGTCTGTGAACTGATTTATGAAATTGGGATAAGATTAATTACTTAACAGAGTTTTGGAGAAGAGATTAATAAAATAAAATGTGTAAGATGCCAAGACAATTCAACGGGAAAAGAATACTCTTCAACAAATGGTGTTGGGACAATTGGATTTCAAATGTGCAAAATTGAACCCTGACCATTACCTCAAACCATGCACAGAAATGACCTCAAAATGGATCATAGACTTCAATATAAGGGCTAAAACTATGCAGCTTCTGGAAGAAAACATAGGGAAAAAATCTTTGTGACCTTGGGAGACAAAGAATTCTTGGATATAACAATGAAAGCATAAGAAATGGATTTAATTAAAGATTAAAAAAAAATTAATAAGTGGATTTAATTAAAATTAAAAATATTTGTGCTTCAAAAGATACTATTAAGAAAATGAAAAGACAAGCCACATGCTAGAAAAAATATTTGCAAATCATGTATCTGATAAAGGACTTAATCCAAAATATATATAGATCTCTTACAGTCAACAAGGCAAACAACCCAACTACAAATAGGCAAAAGACTTGACTAGAAAGTCTTCATGAAAGACATACAAATGGCTAATAAGCTCATGAAAAGGTGTTCAATACAATTAGTCGTTAAGGAAATGCAAATTAAAACCATAATAAGCTATAACCCTAAAATGGCTATAATCAAAAAGATAGAGGGCCGGCCCCGTGGCTTGGTGGTTAAGTGAGCGCGCTCCACTGCTGGCGACCCGGGTTCAGATCCCGGGCGCGCACCGACGCGCCGCTTCTCCGGCCATGCTGAGGCCGCGTCCCACATACAGCAACTAGAAGGATGTGCAGCTGTGACACACAACTATCTACTGGGGCTTTGGGCGGAAAAAATAAATAAATAAAATCTTTAAAAAAAAAAAAAAAGATAGAGAATACCAAGTATTCACAAGGATTTTGAGAAACTGAAACTCTCAAACATAGTTGGTGGGCATGTAAAATAATAGTGCTACTTTGGAAAGCAGTCTGGCAGCTTCTTATAAATTTAACTATAACCTTATCATATGATTCATGAATTCCACTCTTAGAAATCTACCCAGGAGAAATGAAACATATATCCACACAAAGACTTGTATGTGAATATTCATAGCAGCTTTATTCGTAATAGCCAAAGACTAGAAACAATCCAAATGCTCAACTACTGGTGAATAGGTAAGCAAAATGTAGTATACTTATAGAAAGGAATACTATTCAGCAATTAAAAGTATCAAACAACTGATACATGTGATAGCATAGACAAACCTTAAAAACATTATGCTAAGTGAAAGAAACCAGATACAAAGACCACATATTGTGTGACCTGTTTATGAAATTCCCGGAAAAAGCAAATTTACAGAGACAGAAATCAGAGCAGTGGTTATCTGTGGCTGAAGAGGTAGGAGTGGGGACTGACTGCAAATAGATGGGAGGGAAATCTGGGGGGAGATGAAAAAGTTCTAGAAGTGGATGGTGGTAATGGTTGCACAACTCTATAAACTTACTAAAAATCAATGGGTTAATTTTACTGTATGTAAATTTACCACAATAAAGCTGTAAAAATGTTTAAAATTAATATATGTAAAGAACCTTGCATTTAACAGAAACTAGATTTCTTAAAAGTGTTATCTTTTCCCTTATTTAAAGTGAATTAAGTTCAAAAATAGATTCTTAAGGCTGGGGAGGGATCATGGAAGATGGGTAGAATTTCAGTAGAGGGATGGAATGAAAACATCAGCATGTTTCAAGTAGAGGGACTAGCAAGAACAAAGGAAAGAGGTGAGAACTGGGGGCACCTTTGGGGATCAGCCTAGTTGTCTGATGAAGACCAAGAATCTAATGGTCAATAGTCCAGTTTCCTGTATTCCAGCTGATTGTTCCTCCTCAAGCAGAAGTCTGCATCTCATACAACTGGTGATGGGTACCTCTTTACTATAAATATCTCAAACTCGATGAGAATTCATTATCAAAAGTCTTGTTACAGAGCAAGGGTTTGATCTGCTCACTGCAAGATAAAAGGCCAAGCAAGTGATGGTAGAGAAAGAATTTTAATAAGTGATAAGATAGCAAATCAGAAGATGGCGGACTAACGTCACCAAAAAACCCATTTTAAGGGGGAACTGATTTGGAAATGACTTATATAAGGTAAACGGAGTTGGGGAGGGGGCTCAGAAATGTCAGGTGATGGATGACTGTGGAAGGTTGGGTGCCTCTCTGTAGCAGATCTGCTGAATGTGCCATTCCTGAGGAATCTAAGAAAACCTCAGTTACTTCCTTATCTGGGACAGAAGGAACAGTTTGGGCAGAGGACACGAATTTTCTGCTAACAAGTTATTCTTTCTACCAGTTACTGATTGGCTTGCCTACATGCAGTTCTAACCATTTTTCCAAAGCATACTGTGAGAATAAGATGGGGAGGAGGATCATGTGGCCTCGGGGGCTGAAGTTTTAAGAGTCCTTTGCACAGGGGTGACTGTCTTATATTTCTTCATGGGTTGCATGTGCAAATTCAGGGGGTGTTCTATGTGTTGCATGCGGTGGATCTTTAGTCTACGATGTGTGAAGCTTACAATCGTTCATTTCAGCTTCTCAGTGCTCCTGCGTGATGTTTAGTCAGGCGGAGGGCTGTCAGCAAGCTACTCTCTGATCAGCGGTCCTCCTGCTGTTCTGCAAGACAAGCTCAGAAACTTTGGCTACTTTGTTTCCCACGTTAACTTTGTGGGTACAGGCACAGTGTCATCCTAATCCAGGGAAACTTGAACTCCTTCATCCTCGGTTTCAGTCTTGGGCGTTGATTAAACTGTTAGCCACAACAAAATATTATGCTTGTTATTTACATGAATCATAAATTTCTATTTCGAAAAGCATTCTTCTAAAAAGAAGCTACTTAAATACTTTTAGAATCACATTATTTTAGAAATGGAATGGGCCTAAGAGATCATCTGTTCAGTGCCTTCATTAAGAGGATGTATATGTGTACACACACAAACACACACGTGCATACACATATGCTCACTCTTATACACATACAGCACTTTGTAAGAACTTTTTATTCCCCCCCCCAGGCTGAATAATTTTCAGACGAGGACGACTATCATAATGGAAAAAATATAAGAATTAAAAAGAGGTCCCAGTGTTCACCTTGACAGTGCTATTTCCTCCCATTCAGCAGAGGGCGCTAACTCCCCACCCTGCACCCCACTGCTGACTGGGACTAACACACACAAGCTCGCTGAGGCAAGAAAGGTTATGACTTCAGTTCTCCTGCCCACTGAGCAGAGTTGGGGAATTTGCGCATCAAGATACATACGTACATTTCCTTGGGAAGTTTTAAAAGGGCTTTTTGATTTTTGTTTTGTTTTGTTTTAATCTAAATTACTCTTGTGGGAAGTTTTGAATCAGTATGCTAGAATCAGCAATAAGCAGGGTCCCCAACTTCACCATCAGTGCAAAAGCACTTGCATTCCCTGAAGAGGGGGGCAGAATAGAGGTGACAGATTTAAACCTTATGAGTTAATTCTTTTTTAAGCAATACACTTCACTTTTTGTGTATGTGTGTGTGTGTGCGTGTGTGCGTGTGTGTGTGTGAGGAAGATCAGCCCTGAGCTAACATCCATGCTAATCCTCCTCTTTTTTTTTGCTGAGGAAGACTGGCTCTGAGCTAACATCTATTGCCAATCCCCCTCCTTTCCACCCCCCACCCCCCGCCAAAGCCCCAGTAGATAGTTTTATGTCATAGTTGCACATCCTTCTAGTTGCTGTATGTGGGACGTGGCCTCAGCACGGGCCGGAGAAGCAGTGCATCGGTGCAGGCCCGGGATCTGAACCTGGGCCGCCAGCAGCGGAGCGCACGTACTTAACTGCTAAGCCACGGGGCCGGCCCAACACTTCACTTTTTTTGATGGTAGGACTGGGGAGTCAATACTCCTTTCAGAATCTGATTAACCTGAGAACACACCAAAAATTTCCAAAGATTCGTGTGTCCTCTCTGTGAGGCCCATTCTGGGATCTCTGGTAATTCACCCTAAAACACCTCATTGGAGATATTTTTAAAATTAACGCTGTCATTTATTAAATTGTTTCATAAATGGAGATGCCTCAAGAAATTTTTTAAAATCCTCAGATTTTTTAAATCTGAGGTGCAGATTCACCTTCCACTGTTACGAGTTACTTGTTTAGAAGCCATTTTCAGAGGTCAGATACAAAATTAGCTGCATTTGGAAAACAACTTGTTACTTCCCTGAGGTCTGTGTGATGAGTAAACATACAAAACCTTAACCAGAAGCACTGCACAGCCAGAAATATACAGCAAATAGCAAAGATCACAGTGCCTCCTTTTATTGGAATAAATGTTTATTTGAACTGAAAAGAGATGTCAGCACAATTTGGGGCCAACAAAACACAATCCTCAGAAGCTGCTTGCTGCAATTATCTTGCTCAATACAAGCATAATTTTGCATAACCTAAGGTAGATATTTTTGTAGATACAGATCTTTTTTTCTTAATGAAAGCTTGATACAAAACGTTACCTCTGAAGTTCTTGCATGTTAACATTTATTTCAGTTTGGCATCTCACATTATTAGCTTTTGTCCCTCAAAATTATCATTAAATTAAAGGATAAAACTGAAGAACAGAAACCTTCTCATCAAGAACTTCATTCAATTTGCTCAGTCTCTATGAATCTCTAAACATAATTGCATAGCCTCAACCCAAGATTCAAGTATGGATGCTCAATTTCCACCCATAAACGCCCTCATTTTGAGATGACCAGAGAGGTTAAATGGTTTTCCCATAGCTGCCCAGCCCATTAATAGCAGAGCTGTGAGATGAAGCCAGACTTCTTGACCTCCTGGGTTCTTTTGACTATTGACTTCTAGCTCTATAGGAGGATTTCTCAACTGCGGTAATATAGACATTTTGGACTGTGTAATCGTTTGTTGTGGGGGGCTGTCCTTTGCATTGTAGGATGTTTAGCAGCATCCCTGGCCTCTACCCGCTAAATACTAGTAGCACCCCCTCCAACCTCTGCAGTTGTGACAATCAAATATGTCTCCATACAGTGCAAAACGACCCCTAGGAGACAAAATTGCCCCCAATTGAGAACCACTGTTCTAGAGTATCCAAACATCACCTCAGTCCAAGGCCTAGCTTTTTTTTTTTTTTTTTTTTTAATTTTTTGTTTGTTGCAGTAACCTAAGTGCCCATCAAGGGAC